TGACGGGGTGCGATTGCCAACTTTGGAAAGACGCCTTGCGCCAAGAAGCCGACGAGCCGAATCCCGTGGCCCTGGCACGCTGGTCGCCATATCGAGCAGTCCCAAAGCCCAAATTAGCACGGGCTGTGGCGCGAGCACGATTTATCTCAACATGTGTAGTGCAAAGTAGCGGCAGTGATATCCGGCGTCCCTGGCAAATGAAGCTTGCACAAGACTGGGGAAGGATGGCGGTTTAAGTCGAAAATGTACATACACCACGAGAGAGCGGATGCGCCAATCGAGCGTGCTTTGCTTCGGGTGGACAGCATCCCTTGACTTTGAAGTAAACTTGTCACACACTTTCTGCATCACCAGGTTCATCGTGCACCTGATCAAGTTTCTTAGATTCACTGTAGGATCTGACGTTGCCTTTGAAAGTCAGATTGTTCCCGACTCAGACGGCGTTGGTCTGTCGTTGGTGAAACGCGGCAACGACAGCCTGTGGATTCTTGTGCTATGGATCGGCGATACTCAGAACAACTACATCGGCGGTTGGGTGCATTTGCGGCAAATATCTGACACTCATCCAACTGTCTTTGCGTTCCAGGCCTTTGCTTCTTGGAAGCAAAAAAGCAGTCACGAATGACTACATGCTCTAGTACTTGACATTGAGTTCGGCCTGTTGGTATACCTCTCTAAGGCACATCATGCGACTGCAGCTTCAGCTCTGGCACTGGCAGTTGCACAGCGCACAAGAGCAGCCTGTATTTGTAATCTGCTTTTGGCTCTACCAGGCCCAGAAAACCTGGGCCGTAGTACCATGTAACTGCGCAAGGTCACGCTCCACGGCTCGCCACCTTTCCGAGCAACTGGCGACAATGAAAAATCAAACGATCTCGAAATTGCAGACTGGATTGCAGTTCAAGTTCTATTCCAGTCATTGCAAGACAGGCTTCCGGCAGGCACAGTTCTGCTATGCTCTGCTCATGAATAACCTTGTAATAGGAATACCATACAGCGTTTGGAGATGGCATGTGACTGATGTGTATCAGCCCTTCAGCATCGTCTGCAAAGCCACGGGCGCCCGGGCGCATGCGCCTCGTGTTTGAATCCACGTTGCACGACCGTTGAAGCTCTTCTGCATAATGGACAAGGCATCCGCCTCCTTCCCACAAGTTCGAGATTCATTTTACTGCTTGCTGGTATTCACCAGAATGCGCGAAGGCTGCTTCTACTAGTTCCTACTTCCCTTCCAGTTCACGAGCCTGAGCATCGTCTCTGAGCACCTCTTGCAGAACATGTGGCCGCAGGACAACCAGAGGTCCCACTCGGCATTCCCGTCCTGACCTGCACTGCTCCGGTCCGACTCGTGGAGTCGTGGGAGGTTCGAGTTTAGCTTCCCACCACTTTTCAATCATAGGAAGCAGCAATATGGCTAGAGACCATGACTTGTCAACGTCAAGACAGCGGAACTTTGAGAAAGCTGTTGGGATCATCACATGGGAACCCTCGGAGAGGACAGTCTGATGCGATCTCGAATGACATCATCAACGTGACTTGTTTGCTCAGGTTCGGACAAATCCAGCACACATTCTTCTCCTTGGATGAGCCGCAAATTCGGACATAGGATTCTTTTAAGTCGCCAGGAGAAAACATCCTACATGGTTGCTGTCTCACAGCTGCCCTTGCTGCAAACTGTTGCATGAAAGGTGTATGACTGCATCCCACAAACTCACACCACAGCACACCTTAAGGATTTCGCCCAGAAAAGGTTGTCAACTAGTCTCTGCTCACCGCTCAGCATCACTATGGAATTAGCCTCTTGTCGCGAGTGCAAATCTTCAATGCCGGTCAGAATGCTATTGACAACAAGTACTTGCATGTCCAGAAATATCATGTCTAGCCAGGTGTTACTGTGATGAAAAGACCACCAATGACACCTTGGCTCCATGCGAATGCCTGCAGCTTGCCCAAAACTTGAAAAAGTAAGTGCGCGATCCAAACTTGTTCCAAAATCGCGTGACTCGAATGGCACACCTCCTACGGCGCAACTGTAACATTCTGGCGTCCAAGCTTCATAGTCCTCCCACGACGATGGAACGCAGTTGTCTCTCTCCAGCCGGAAAGGTCCGCTCAGGTGAATGCAGGTGGCTAACCCGACCTGCATAACGACTGTCATGTCCAAGCCACTTAATATGACTGAATAGCAAGCAACCAGATGCAGGAAGCCCGAGCTTATACCATAAAACTCACAGTCTTGCAGCATAGCTGTCCCAAATACTGTGTTACTTTGCCTTGCCGGTGCCGTTTGCTCTGGGCAGCCGTGCTGGAATGGCAAAGGGGAGCACCGATTTGCAGCATGCAACGTAAACAAGAAAACCATAATTTCAAGCCACATATTGCGGTCGACGTCCACGAGTGAGGGGCGCATGCCTTGGACATAAGCTGTCAGGGATGCAAAACACCGGGCAGAGACAATGCTTGCAGAAGTGTTTGCAGTCTTGCAACTTTTTTTCTGGGCATGTGGCAGCCCCCAACCACTTTGCCTGTTCCCGCACCCGTCGCCCTAGCCGCCGATCTAGACCATGCAAATAGGATGATCAAGGATGGAATGATGGAATGAACATGGCCTGAACGGGTGGCGCATGCTGCTCGAGTCAAACTCGTGAGCATTTTGGCAACTACTGTGAAGTAGCTACATATAGTACCACATCTATATATATATATATATATATATATATATATATATATACCAGCCAGCTCTAATAAGCTCTCACCATCAATGCTCGGCAAGGTCTTGCTGAACGACCTTGAACCGTCGCGGAGCTAGTTCGTTCGACCGGAACGTGGGGGCAACCACGGTGATGAAGATAAAGTCAGCTGATCAGCTGGGTTCCATCACAATCCACAGGTTCGCTCTGCCGCTAGGTTAGGGTGATCCCCAAATTCTACTAAGTCAGATCCGCAACATGGGAAGACTATCGGAACACTGACGGAAGTATACATACACAAGCGCATATATGTTCGCACCAGAGCTCACTGCACCAACCTCATCAGTGACCACCTGCCCGCCTACCTACCTACATACACATAGGCATACGCACACATACATATTGCGACACACACATGCCTGTACAAATTCATACATACACATGCACTCGTAATATGTATGTCGCATACGCATACATGCATGCATGCATGCATGCATACCTACATGCACAACGATACACAGATACATGCATGCACACAAACATAGTCACCTACACAGACATGGGCATAGGCATAAACAGACATACATACACACACATACCCACATACATACATACATGCATACATACATACATACATGCCTTCATTCATACATATGCATACACACACACATAGGATCACATAGGCAAATACGTGCATACATACGTACATGCACGCATACATACTTGCATACATACGAACATGGAAACATACGTACATGCATACGTAGATACAAACGTACCTAGATCTTAAACACAAACGCAAACGCACCGGTACATACATGCATACATACGTACATGTACGTGCGTAAACCAGATATACATGTATATTTATATGCACACACATGCAGACATATACACACATACACATGCATATACACACATCACGATTACATACACACATTCATACATACATACCTAGATACATACGTAGATACATGCATACGTAGACATAGACGTCCTATGACATACCCACCCATACAAACCCATGCAAACAGATACATGCACATACACGCACACACGCGCACACACACACACACATGCAAATACATACACCTACATGCATACACATACACATACATACATAGCTCCAATTAGCTCCATGCATGCATACATGCATGCATGCATGCATGCACAGACATACGTACATGCATGCATACATGCCATGCATACATACATACATACATGGATGCACACATACGCACATACACACCTACATACATAAGTACATACATACATACATACATACATACATACATACATAATCATACATACATACTGACAACAGGCAGACAGACAGACAGAGGGGAAGATATGAAACCATGCACGCCAGACCACGAGCACGTGTAGTCCGTGTAGTTACACGTATGCACATTTGATGAAGTCCCCAAGTCTCTTGTCAAGCGTTCACGCTTGCGGAGACAGTTTCAACCTTTCATCTGTTGTGACAATCGTGTCTACAGAAATTTCCACCGCCTTTTGTCACAGCGAGATCGCGCGCAAATACGACTCGTGGCAATCCCTGGTCTCTTGCGCGTTGCACAACCGTTCGATATCTCTCTAGCCCCAGCACCAGCGATGTAAATGACTTGGCACGACTGGCCATGCGTGCATTTCCCACCCCCGCCCGTCCCCCCTTTATGCATTTTTACGCTTTTATACGCTTTTTCTGCCC